CTAGCAGATTATTAAATTTTACAAACCTTCCCCAACCTGTGAATTCCAATAAAGTAACAATTATTGGTAATAATAATAATGTAATTATTAACATTCAATCATTGATTATTTTCATTTTATTAAAATTAACAATATTTATTAATATCCATTTTTGATAAATATTTCATAGATTCTAAACAAATTGATTTTTTATTTATTTGGTTACTTACCTGAATAAGTTAAAAACCCTGTCATTTATTATTTCTTTTTATTTATCTGGTTACTATATTTGTGATATTAAATATCTTGAGTAATGATATTTAATAATGATATTATTTAAAGGTAGTGATTTCCACATATTTTATTGATATTTGACACTAAAATTGTAACAGTTCTTTTTCGTTCTTAATTGCGAATATCTAATGTGGCACAGTAATATGAAATTTATTTCGCGTAACGCGTTAAATTAAAACGAAACGTTACAACTTTACTTATATTATTTATATTACTTATATTATCATTATATTACTTATATTATCATTTATATTACTTATATTATTATTATTTATATTATTTTCTTATGTATATGAGTTACAAATTAAGTGCTGGAGCTTTCCGGGAAGTTCTAAGATATTATTATGATTGATAATAATTTATTTATTTAATTGTAATATTATATATAATATGCATTTTTGTATAAAAAGATAAGCTTTCCGTAATTAATAAAGATAACTTGTATTTTTAATAATAATTAAAACAATTAGTATTTTGACGTAAGGAAAAAGGGTTTCCTTACAAAAATAATGATTTTGACAAAATAAATGTTACTCAAATAATGAGAAATAAATAATTCAAATAAACCTTATTCAAATAGAAACCCTAATCAAGCAGTATAGTTGTATAAAGTGATTTTAATTTAGTTTTCCAGATTTGGTGACTCCATAATAAATAACCCAGATCGCAATACAGATGACTTTTATGACTTTAAAATATCGTATCTATATTATATTAATATATTTGTGATACATGTTTGTGGCTAAAAAAAAAGTTTCTAGAAAAAAAATTTTTTTTTTGACAATATAATAAAAAACTAAAATAATTTTAAAAGATGGGAAACACTTTAAATAAAAATAAGCATCATGATGACACTTCTACTGACAAAAATGATGAATATTCAAAGGAAGGATTGACTGAAGGATGGACTAGTGGCAATGAAACATTAGATGAGTTGATTAAAAGTACACAACTTAAAGCAACAAGATATGGTAATGATTATTATCTTCAATGGATTTCTTATAATGATTTAACAAATATTGAAAAGATTGGTGAAGGTGGGTTTGCAACTATATACAAAGCTACTTGGATAAATGGTGAGAAATATGTAGGTGGAAATAATGAAAGAATTAGTAAGGATATGATTGTGGCATTAAAAAAACTACATAATTCACAGAATATTTCTGATGAATTTCTTAATGAGGTAAATTTTATTTATTTTCTGATTTTTTAAATATTATTCTGAAATTCAATATATTTTTTTTTATAGTTTAGAAATTATGTTACATTTCATGGTAAATCATTTATAAATAAAATTTATGGATTATCACAAGACCCAGCTACAAAAGAATATATATATGTGATTGATAGAAGTCTTCAAAATTATGAAGATCCATTTATTAGAAATGAAAAATATGGGGAATGTCCAACCTGCAATAGATATAATACTCATTATTCATGGTGTCAATCATGTGATCCAAAGCTATTAACTGAAGGATGGACTAGTGGCAATGAAACATTAGATGAGTTGATTAAAAGTACACAACTTGAAGCAACTGGGTATTGTGATATATATTACCTTTAATGGATTCTTTATAATGATTTAACAAATATTGAAAAGATAGGTGAGGGTGGGTTTGCAACTATATACAAAGCTACTTGGTTAAATGGTTATAAAAGTTTAGATTATAATAATAAAAGAATTAGTGAAGAGAGGATTGTGGCATTAAAAAAACTACATAATTCACAGAATATTTCTGATGAATTTCTTTATGAGGTAAATTATTTTATTTTTCTATTTATTTTCAGATTCTTTAGATATTATTGATTATTATTGTTGTAATTAAATATTTTATTTGTTATTTTAGTTTAAAAATTATATTAAATTTCATCATGAATTTACTATAATTCATATTTATGGATTAACACAAGATCCAATTACAAAAGAATATATATTTGTAATGGAATATATGGAAGATGGGAGTCTTCAAAATTATTTAACTAATGATTTTAAAAATTTAAAATGGAAAGACAAAATTAGAATTCTTTATCGAATTATTAATGGTTTAACAGATATTCATGAGAAAAAAATTATTCATAATGATTTTCATAGTGGTAATATTCTTCAAAGTAAAAAGGGGGTTTTATATATTGCAGACTTAGGATTATCATGCCCAGCTAGTCAAACATCATCATCAGACAAAAATGATATATGGGGAGTATTACCATATATTGCACCAGAAGTTTTAAAAGAGAAACCATATACAAAAGCATCAGATATATACAGTTTTGGAATTCTGATGTCTGTAGTATCAACTGGTCAACAGCCTTTTAATAATTTGGCACATGATGAATATCTTGCAATGAATATCTGTAAAGGTGCAAGACCAGGATTCTCAAACAATACACCAAAATTCTATATTGAACTAGCATTCAAATGTATGGATGCTAATCCAGATAAACATCCAACTGCTAAAAAAATTAATGAGATTATTGGTGATTGGATGGTTCCACTTGAATCAATTAATGAAGAGTTTGAGAAAATAGATGAAATAAAATTTGATCCTTCAACAATTACTACAGCAATTCATCCAAATGCAGTTTATATTAGCAGATTATTAAATTTTACAAACCTTCCCAACCTGTGAATTCCAATAAAGTAACAATTATTAGTAATAATAATGGTAATTATCATTAATTATTCAATTATTAATTTCAAAATTTAGTATCAATATTAACATTATGATGTTACAAATTATAGTTTCTCATCTAATGGATATAAATATTTAAATTAATTTGATTATTTATATTTAATAATGATATTATATAAAGGTAATAACTTTTCACAATTATCATATCTTTTGATTTTTCTTTTCATTTTGAAATTTGGATGTCCAATATGCACACAAATAATTTTTCTGATAAAAAAATAAATATAATTTTTAATAATTATTGCAGTATTATTTATTTTTTTGCCTTTTCAAATCAATATTTTCATCTCTTATAACATTAACAAGTTGAAGTGATGTACTATCAATATGTCATATAATATAAATAATATAATAAATGATTTTTTTTTTTTATAAAGGCAATATCCTACTCATATAATTTTATTAGAATAAAGTAAATATAATAAAAATAATTCACAAAATAAATTCCAAATTAACTTTATATGA